ATATATATATATATATATTAAATACTAATAATAATTAAATATAATATATTTTTAAAATTGATTTGATGTTTTCTGAATTTTAAACTCACTTCAATTTCCAATACATTCAACACCCCCTATAAGGGGTGCCATTAGCACCCCCCTTTTGTAATTGCCTATATTGGATTCTGTGTCTGTGCTTAGTTTGACTCCAAAAAAGGGTCCACTTCCAATTTTGTGTCAGATTTAGTACATTTTAGTTCTCAAATTCACATGGCTATCTTTAGTATTTTAGTCCATAATTCTTTTCTTGTAGAACCCTTTTCTATTGTGATCATCAATACTTTCTTATTATGCACCATCATTTTCTTACCAATTTGGAAATCACAATCACATCTGTTTGACTCTCAAAAGTCAAAAAAATGTGAACAATTTCATGGGTATTTTTCCATTTCTCCATCTGAATAGTGAATATATACATGATGCCATTCTAATCTATAATCAATTGTAATGTTGTGTACCATTAAACCATCTGAAATGGGATTTTGATGCTGCATTTTGGTCTATTAACATGTGAATGGTTTGGTTATTCATCATGTGTTTTTGTTATCCTTATTCATATTATATAATTTAATGTGTTATCGACTTGTTATCATCTCCGTCTTTCATATGTATAAAAACAAACACAACACATATATATCAAAAGATGACAATGTTGTCGTAACTCAAACTTGAACCTTATTTACGATTTCGTAATCTCAAAATTATAAAAACATATGAATAATTGGTTGAAATTATGGATCAATATGATAAATTATGTCTAATTAGATCCAATAGATAACCGATAGTAATATTTAAGACAAAACTAATAGAATTTAATCATCTACCGCATTAAATTGAATAGTTTATCCGGTGTTAATTGAATTGAATTGAATATTAAAATCTAATATTAAATAAATATCAATTAAATATTAGTCTCTTTTTGTAGATATGATTCCAAACATTTGGCTGTGAATTGGCATACACACAAACACCAAAAATAGGCCACCATACACGACTATCAAATCGTTCTTTTTTTCTTATTCACACCTTCAATTATTTATTTAATTTTCAATGATACCAAAAATATTCATAAAATGTATTATGAAAAATTTGATATTCAATTATTATTCAATGATAAATGAATTATTAGAAATACATAATTGTATGGTTGAAAAAGAGAAAATCTAGTTTTTGATTCTTTTAAAAAAATAATGAATATGTATTGATTTGGTAAAATACTTAGGGGCCGTTTATCAAACATTTACTCAGATAAACGCTTACCATGTTACATTAACTTTCCAAATGAATGTAGTAAGAACTAAGAATCTTACCCGGTAAGAACGAGACAAGGAACAAGAGTCTTATCCGGTAAGTGAAGACGACAACTCTTACCACGATAAGAGCTTATCGGGTAAATTTTTGCATATGGTATGGTTTTGGTGGACTAAAATAAATGTTTAAAAATAAGTTGATTTAAAAACACACATTTTTTCTAAGAAAAAAGTTAATAAATATTAAGTTTAACTAAGCCTGTAAATGAACCAAACGAACACGAACGAATGTTTGTTCATGTTCGTTCGTTTAACTTAACCGAACAAACAAACAAACACGAACAAAATTATTTGTGTTCGTGTTCGTTTATGTTCGTTCGTTACGATGCCAAACGAACATAACAAAAATGGACGAACAGACTTAAACGAACTAGAGCTCAAGCCACATAGGCTCAAGCCACTTCTGACCGGTGAATCACTTGAGTTTTTAAGGGGTGAGGATCAAATATATATAAGGGATGTTCAAACGAGAACACCTCTATTTACGAGAACGTGAGAACACTATTATCACATGTGATAATATGTGTGAGAGGAACCTGTGATGTGCCGACGACGTGTTCTACGACTTAGGTCGCGCCGAAGATTGTCTGCGTCTATGATTTAGCATCACATGTGATGGTATGATGGATTATAGTATGATATCAACAACAACATTATCACATGTGATAATACTTGTGAGGGAGCTTAGTGGTGTAAGGGCAACTTGCCAAGATCACATCGAGAATCGCCCGCATCTTTGATTTAGTATCACATGTGTATCATATGAGATAAAATAATAGTATCACATGTGATTGTCTACAGTAAAAAGGTGTCCTCGTGTTCTCATTTAAACCCTTATATATATAATTATTATTTAAAATTAGATTTATTATAATCGTTAAACGAACATAAACGAATATAAGTAAATGGACATTAATGAGCATAAATGAACGAATATTCACAAACATAAATGAACGAAAGAGATCTTTCATGTCCGTTCGTCAAACTAAACGGACAAAAAACTTGTTCATGTTCGTTCACTTATTAAATAAATAAAAATAAACGAACTTTCTCACGAACGGTTCACAAACAATTCACTGAACGTTTGATTCGTTTATGAAACTAAGTTTAACTATTGAAACAAAAGTTAAAATACAATTGATGGACGA